AGTGCATTCCAGCTCCTTTTCCCTTGCTCTTAATCTTGTTCATTACCACATACATGATGTTATCTCTTGTTATCTCCCATGAAGGAATCCCCCAAGGATAGTTGTTGAATGCTTCTAGGTCGTTGACCAACTCAACATAGGTCTCTGGAATTCTTATTGTTTTCGTATTGGAAAGTATAATGCTGGAAAGCATGTACAAAAGCCCTATCCTGACCACATCATCGTCGCAGTCATATTTCGTGTTGGGGTGGGATAATGTTTGCTCAATGGTTGCCCTCGTGACGTACGAGAGATTTTTCCAGTACTATTTGTGGAGGCGGGATTTGGTAAACACATGCTTGAAATGTGTTGAACCAACACACTTAAGACCGGTGATGAGGGCATACTCAGCTATTGAAAATCGCCTGATGTCGTCCCCAATAGCAAAGAATAAAGAGTTCTATATTTTTCCATCAACAGCGGCAAAGTGCATGACAAGTTGACCCAAGCTTCTGGAGGTTCAAAAAGTTCACTACGGTAGGTTGAAGCTCTAACTTCTCAAATTGAGTCCGTGTAAGACCCTGTCGTAGTATTCACATAGTTTCCTCATAGTTAACAGTACGGTTTATTTTGCCGTTCTTGATGTCCTCGTCTGGAACCATTTCATGAACTGTAATAATACTAATATGATAGGTCATACTAATATAAAGGCAAACAAAAAAACACAGACAAAAAAACATATCACAACTTATAGGCCAGTCATACTTAAATGATCGGACGCTCATAATATTATGACCGACTACAATGTTAATAATTGTATAATATTACTGGTTCCACCATACAATGTTACGAGTTCCACCACTATGACTGCCTTATGGAACGACGGTCATAATACTATGATCGCTCATTATATTGTTCGGTCATAGTGCAGTCATAACAATATTACCACCATAAGGCCGAGTCAGAGAACAAAAATGACCACAATGACAATCCAATGAAGCTCACAAATTTCAAATAACCGACATTCTTAGTATCCGCTTTACCTTCCTCCAAAGGCATCTCTTCTTCCAAAGTCTTTTTTTCTTCTAAAATGACAAAAATTGGTAAAAAAAAAAAAATAGTAAATACAAAAAAAAAAAGAAGCAAACAAAGTTGTTAACTAATATACTATGACTGGCACACTAAGAGTCTGACAATTGTTCGGTCATAGAAATATGACAGACGGTCATAAGTGTTATGATTGATGACCACCTATAAAAAAAGTACTATGACTGGCACACTAAGAGTCTGACAATTGTGCGGTCACATTACTATGACCTAGGGTCATAATACTATGGCCGCAAGGTAGTCGCACTATGAGCCTGACAATTGTGCAGTCACATTACTATGATCGAGGGTCATAATGCTATGACCCCAGGCTTATCAGTCAGGCAATCACATTATGTGCCTGCCTACCTGCCTAATGGGCGGTCATAGTAATTATGACTGATTACTATGACTGTCTGTCATATTACTATGACTGCATGATGTGTCTGTCTTATGACCGGTCATAATAAAATTACCAAGCGATCATAATGATATGACCGTCTATCAGGCAGAGTCACAAACCAAATAAGGAGCACAATGACCCTTAAAAATTTTAAATAACTGACCTTATATGCTTTTATCTCCTCTTCCAAAGCCTTTCTTTTCTTCTAAGATGACAGAAAATGGTAAAAGAGAAAAAACAATAAATACCTAAGAAAGAAAAAACAAATAAACAAGAAAAGCCAACAAAGTTTTCACCTTTGTCTCGGAATCCTCCATTGACCTCATCTGTTTGGTGGTTGATTTCTCCGACGAAGATGGTGAGGTTTTCTCAGTTCGTTCTTCTCCGACAAAGAGGTTCAGGTGTTGATTTCTCCGGTGAAGGTTCGTCGGTTCTCGTCGCATGATTGTGTGGGTTCTCGCTGTCGTGGGTTCGACGGTGCTCAAGGTGAAGGTGGTGGTTGTTGGGGTTTCTTGGTCTCTGTGCACACCCGCGTTCGTTCTCCTCTTCATCTCTCTACTTTGAATATTTGAATTATAAAAGGCTTCATAATATATATTCAAGGCTTTAAAACTAAAATGAGGCACAATTATCATTTTAACTCAAGTAAAAACGGCTTGGTCCCACTTTTACTGACATGACGATACTAATTGTAAAAGTTTACAAAAGTGATGTTAAAATGAATAATCATTTACTCAAGAGTGCTATTATTAAAATTAACCCTATTATTAACTCACTACAAATAAGGGCTACTTGAGCTAGTGCATGGGCAACCGTATTGCTATGACGAGAAATATGTTTTTAAACCATTTCCTTTAATTTAAAAAATAGTAGGGTGTGGAAAATAACAGAATAAAAAGTGTAAATAAAAATTCATACCATATTTTTAGAGTGTGAAAAATAATAGCATATTTTAGCATCATAATTTCTAAAAATCTCAAAATAACCTCCTTGCAAAAACATTGATATCTAAGATGGAGGTTCTAAGCTATGGAGGAGAAGCTGATACACAGATTGGAGGCGGTGGAACGCTTGGAGGCGCTCTCGGTAGGAGGCTTCAGGGCCAGAGGTTCGTCAGACAGTGGTGGCGGCGATTCCACGCCGGTGGATCCATTGATTCTAGCCTTCAACGATATGACGAGGTAGTAGAGAGAGAAAGTTGAGAAAGGGCGACGGTGACCTTGCAGCATCCTCAACGGTGACGACGACCTTGCATCGCATCAGAACACCTGGGGATCTCAGATTTTCACCACAGCCGGCAATCGTTGAGAAAGAGAGACGACGATCAAGAAAGAGAACCCGGGGGAGAGAGAGAAAGAAAGCATGAGGAGAGAGACACATAAAGAGAAAAAGGGTGAGCGTGAGAATAAATGTTGGAGAGAGAAAGTGAGATAGAGAAGTTTTGGGTTCGTTTAAATCGTTTATTCGAGTTTTTAAGGGGATGTTTGGTTAGAAGATTAAAATCATGATTTGAATCATAGTTCATAGTTCGTTACAGTATTTTTTCTCACAAAAAATACACGTAAATCGAAAATGGTTCTAATCACATGATTCTAATCCATGAACCAAACATCTCCTAATTTGAGTTTAGATATGATAACTTTTTATTGTAGTAAAAAAGTTAAATATGACTATTTTTATAGCTTTTTACTGTAACAAAACTCGAATTCTAAACCCAAATCAGTGAAATGAACATGACATTTATGTCACTTTTTACATTAATTGTTTGGCACGTGAACTTTGCTAACATAATATATCTACTAACCTAATATATTATTATATTTAAATAGAAAATGAGATATGAATTCCATGTATCAAATATCAAATGCAGAGAATGATAATAAAAATGTCAAAAAAATAATGCTAACATTTGTCTTTTAAGATTTCATCATTTCACCATTAATTGTAATTAAAATTAAAAAGAAGTATAAAATGGGAAAATCAAATTCAAATTTTTTTTAAGAATATGGTGTTTACTAACTAAATAAAATATTTATGTTATTTAACTCACGTTTAAAAATCTGCTATATACTACAATTTTCCTTAAAAGAGAAAACTACGCATCTCAAAAGATGTGTGCATAAGAGATTTTGAAAATGTGAAGATAAAACAAGTCTTACATGTAAATACGACAATAAAATACTCTAAATTATGAGATAATTTTATTTTTAAAGATGTAGAGGTGATTAAAACTTGCATGAATATAATTTGAGAAATTTACTGAATTTACTTTTAAAAGTGTATGAATCTAAATTTTTATCCATTACTCTTAATTAATACATCTAGACTAATATAATATTTGAATAAAATGGTATTAATAAAAAATTAAGAGTAAAAATTAAGAGTCATGCAATCTAAGAGATATTTGTTGCTTTTTTCTTGTAATTTTATTTGCGATAACCATAGCCACGTTACTAACTCTTTTATTTTAATTAGCCAAACATTTAATTAAAAACTGCCCACGGTTTTTATTTACTAAATACAAAAAAGTATCAAACTTTTATTCAAAAAAGAAACAAAAATATGCACTCTACAATTTTCTCTTTGTGTTTTTTAGCCACAGAAAAACTATGCAGGTCACAAATAACATGTCGTTGTTTTTTATTTTTATTTTTCTCACGAAGAAAGCAAATAGAAACATGATGTTTTTTAAACAAAAAATAAAACTAACAGGTAGATTTCATAGATGAAAAAAAAAAACTAATGAGAGATAGTAAAGGCCCGTTCACTTCGCTGATTCGAATTTATAATTCGAGTTGAGATATAATTTTGTGTGAGAACTTTTTACTGTAGTAAAAAAGTTAAATGTGACTGTTTCTGAGAGCTTTTTACTGTAACAAAACTCGAATTGGCGAAATAAACGGAGCCTAAGATACTGTAACGACTCGATCTCACAAGCCGTTACTACTTGGTTTTTATAGCGTAAACATAAAAAAAAAATATGCACTTAAAGGAATGTATTAAGAAAATTTTTCGATAAATTTTTCTTTTTTTTCAAAAGTATATAAAAGAATGTATTAAGAAAAAATTTTGATAATTTTTTTTTTTCAAAAGTATTAAGGTTAAAGTACATAATTAAAAGTTCAAACATAAAAATAAAAATTAAAAATACTTTTCAAAATAGAAAATCTTACGTTGTGATAATCTCTTGTTGTTAGAGCCTTTAATTGATAGTTCCTCTCTTGGAACTTAACTCTTTTGATGAAGGATTCATCTCTTATTTTGTTAACTTGATCGGTTTTAACAAATGAGAGAGGTTCTCATTGAGCTTGTAAAAAAACTTATTGCAAACCTTGAGGGAAACATAAAATTATTTAAGCATTTTAAATAGACCATTTTTTTTTATAAGACCCTTAAACATTTACTATAGAAATATGTTGTTTAAAATATTGTTCTCAAGAAAAACTCTTTAAAATAGAAATAAAGAAAATTAAAACTTGTAGTTCCATAATTGAGCATTTTGGACCAATTTCCCGACTTACTTAATTCCTTAGATAATTACCGAATACTTAATTAGATAGGTTCATGTCGGTTTCGTTGTATCTTTAACTACTTAGCAAACCCACTTAAATATTACAATCCCAAAATAATAAACATAATCTCAAAATAAACTTTCAGAAATAGTTTGTGTGGAAACATTTAACGGCTCGACCCATCACCCTTGTACCACATGCGCCATCATGTCGGACCGTCCATCCATGTCCTACTCTTGGATTAATGGTCGTTTACCGAGATCTACAACACAAGCCATTATAGTGAGCTACCGCTTAGCAAGTACAAGCTAATAACTCACATAAAATAACATAGGTAGTTTTGTACATAGATGTTTTATAAACCATGTAAATCTTGCATAGATGTAACATAGGTAGTTTCGTGCATAGATGTAAGTCTTGAAAACTATGAATTTAGGTCTTGCATACGTACCTTGCCCGCAACCAACGGGAGACTGGTGGAGCGACCCTAACCAAGTCAGCCCGTGACATCATAACATAACATGAACATGAAGAGACCTCAGTCTCGGTACAGAGACCTCAGTCTCGGTACATAACATGAACATGGAGAGACCTCAGTCTCGGTACATAACATGAACATGGAGAGACCTTGATCTCAGTGCGACGCTTAAAAACATCTCTTTTTTTATGCCTTGTATTAAAATCATGATAGGAAAGCATGTCACATCAAATGAACTTGAAAGTCAAGTGACATAATTGAATCACATAGATAGGCATAAACAAGTACATGATATTATCAAGAATTTTCATAGAGTATTTATACACATCATTATAGATGAACTTTAGGCTAGTGTTGTAGGTGAGTACTTGTACTTACATTTCTTAGAGAAAACCTACTCTTGAATAAGATAAGGATTGAGATCCTTGATTTTACGATATGCGTGATCCTGTTATCACATTCACCTTAGTTAATTTTGAACCTTTTCTTCCGAGGCACACACTAGTCTAAAATCATGTGTGTCGGGTCTATGGACTGATTACGCCCTATGATATAATTTCGTTCTTGTGAGTTTAGATAAATGGTGAAAGTCAACTATTGAACTTCTACACTCTAGATTAGAATTTTCAAAGAGCGGTGTTGGGTTTAACTTCTTAAAGGGGCTATTTAGTTAATAATCTCTAACCTTAACTTATAACAAGAAGTTTAAGAAATTGATAGGTTCATGTAACTAGTTCAATTAGGAACTATTTATTAATAATTACTGACTTTAATCCTATCACAAACATCTTACATTTAGACTGGTCATATATCAAAATCAAACCAACAAAGTAAAATCAAAAGTTAATATTCACATTCAAAATCATAATGTACATATTCTTTTTAGTCATCCCCATTATAAATCTATCTAATAATAAACTTTTCTTAAGATCTTCATGCGTAAACATCTTAGCCAAATCAAGCCACGAAATCTCAAAATATAGTCCAAGTTCCAAATTATCAAAGTTACAAAAGTTGGACTCTTAGCACAAACTCTGTCAAATGGGCTGATTCAACCTCTGTTACGAGAAAAATTATGATAAATTGTAAGAAATTCCAAAAATTACGAAACTACTCTCAAAATAAAGTAAACTCATGGGGCTTTATTTAGAGCTATTATAAGCTAGGTTTCAGATTCACTAAACTCATCAAATTAGCCCGAAATCCAGACCAAAATTTCTGTCAAGAATTTGACAGAGTTTTGTATGAACTTGTAAAAATCATAACTAATTCTAGAAAAATCCTTTTTCCGTGATTCTTGAACTCACTTAAAGCTTAGGATGTCTATTTTAAAGATAAAATAATATCTGAGGCGAAAAAGTATAGAAAGGATTCTGAAAAATTTAAAATGTAAAACTGGTTCAGAAACTCATTCATGTTCATTTCAACAAACATATAATATGCAAACTTTTATGTTTAAAACTCACATGCAAACACTTGAATCAACATCCTATTTCGAGTTTATTAAGTTCAAATCAACCCAAACGCAATCCAAAGTCATAAGACTAACTCATTTAACCTCAACATCAAAGCTCTAAAGGTTAATAGTCTTACCCTTGAAGATTAATCGATAGTTCAGTTTTCTAGAAGCTCAAACTTGTAGCTTTAAAGGTGATAATATGGCTGGTCATTGATGGATGCAGTTGAGAAATAATATCGAAGAAAAAACACAAGAAAATTCGTGTTAGTTGCTTCTAATACAAAAAAATGTATTGGAAAAGTGATTGAGAGAGCTCCCTTACCAAAATCCAACTCTATGTTGAAGGAGCTTAATCCTTCTTCTCGGATTCATATTTCGCATCAATTTTGGAAGGATATTTGGGCTACCAAACGTGTTTAAAACGAGGAAAATCAAGGGTTTGCTTCCTCTATGGATTAGAAAGAGAAAGGACGAAGAAATTTCAAGTTTATAGGTGTGGAGGAGGGCTTTGTAAAAATAACTCAATAGAAAAGTTTTATTAGTAAAATAACTTTTTAAAAATTTTTATTCGTAAAATGACTATTTTTTATAAAAAATGATTAGGTGGTCTTTCTTCATAAAAAATGAAAAATGTTATTTTGTTAATTTCATTTTGTTGGATAGTCATTTTAGCATATTGCCAATGTGATTTTCTTATAAGGGGTTGAGGGAGATGCGGGAATAGTTGAGGAGAGAGTGAGGGAGATGAAAGAATACTCTAAAATCAGATAAGGGTGTTTTTAATTGATATCCTCTTTCCTCTCTTCCTATTTTTTTGTTTTTGTTTTGATTTTTTTTCTTCCAAGTTAAAATCTAATTAGGTTTGTTGGGTAGTGAACTCTTAACACCTAATCAAAAACTCATCATCTTTTCTATTTTTAATCCCAAATATTTTTAAAATCATGCTTTGAACCTCATATTTTCAAAAGGAATTATGCCTTAGGTTCCATACTTTGCCAAAATTGTAAATTTTTCCCCGAAATTAGATTTTTGTAAAAATTTCCCCCTTAACTAATTTCGATGCTTTGATTAAAAATTTGATGCTAGAAATTCTATCTAGAATTTTATTTCACTAATCTACACCATCTCTCATGTAAAAATAATTTATACCATTGCTTTCACGTATGTCTCGTACCCTAATGGTGTTTCATGATCTATTCTTGATTATTTAGAAATTTGAGTAACTCGTACTCTCTCAAATCTCTAAGGCTCAAAATTAATTATCCCTTATTCTTGCACATCATAAAATATCATAAGCTAATTATCGAAATAATCGAGTAATCACAACGTCGTTGACCATTAACTTAAATAAAGAATCTTAATAATTCCTTATCATACATGAAACATATTCATAAACTTAAGGTTTAGGGTATTTCAGATACCGCCTTGATAATTAATGTGTCGCCTAAAGAGAAACAACATATTACCCTGAGTTCGAAGTCGCGGGAACTAGTATAATATTTTTCTATTTTGTCATGTTTTAACACAAAATAATTGTATTATTACATAAAATATTAATAGCACAGACTATTTTAGGACTCACTTCATAACCATAATTCGAAATGCTAATCATCACGAAACATTTATAAATTATAACTATAGAGACCATCTCTCTATGTGAACGAATAGCAATGGCGTTTTCTCCATCGCAACGTCGAATCCCATTAGACCTCGTGCTTGATCGGTTTCGTTTTCTAGCTCCCACCAATTAATCTTTCTTCAATTTCTTCAGTTTTTTTGTTTTCCTTAAATAGATTGTTTGTTGTTTAACAAAATTTTCCGATTCAATACTATTTGTGACGGAAATTTGATCATTTTTTTGACGCATTAGCCGATTTGGTTCAATTCATAGAGTTTTTGAGATTTGTGGTGATCTTTTCATGCATGTTCGTTTTCAACTGAATCAATTAATATGTGTTGTGGAAATTTAAAGTCGAAAATGTTAAGCAGAAGCTAGCTCTAGTCGAAGTAATTAAGATTTTAGAATTTTGTGTCTAGGTATTTTTAATGAACAGAGCCGCTCAACGTAATTAGGGGTGAGTTGAAAATTTAAATAAGCCTTTTAAATAATTACATTTGCATTAGTTAAATATGCCTTTTAAGTAGAGAAACCAATTATAAATCATGTTTTTTCTATGCAATGTGGGATTCAATTCGTTACAGTTTTTGGTCATTAAAAATTTAATAAGAAAATGAAAGGGAGAAGAAAACACAAAAGATTTAATATGGTTTGACAATATGTCCATATACACGATTAGGATTTAGAATTTTTATCGTTCGTGCATTTGCATAACCAATTTATCACAATCATCGACAAAATGTACCCCGTTACAATAATGTAGCAAGTTTGGAGAGGGGGATAAGTTGTCATAGTTAGAAATTTATGGAGAAGGTGCCTAAGCCTGAAAATTCAAGAACTAAATTGCTAAATATGCCAATTAATTATTACTCATGCTTGCATCTTTTTTTTTTTTTTGTATAAATTTTCAAAAACTTTCAAAAATCTTTTTGAGTGATTTAATTAGGTTTCCTAATGTTTATTTTGTTTTCTTTCATATCTTATAAAACATCTTATTACTAAAAATGTAAGTAACGAAAAGCATAACATTGTTCACCTCAAAAAAAAAAAAAAACATTGTAAGAATTCTTAATAAGTGACAGAGTTAGGGGAATTTATAAAATTTGTTAAAAAAAAACGAAGGTTAAAAACTAATATCAAGAAACAAATATATTTAAACTTAAGACTTTAGAAATAAGATTTCTTCTTTTTTTTTTTTTTTAAAGAAAAGAAAACTAACTAAAATGTTCAATATTATGAGGTGTAAAGGTGATTAGTTAATGATCCTAATAATAAGGGGCCTTAACTTAATGGGGACCTTAGGCAGTTGCTTCAATAGAATTTACCCTTATGCCCGCATTGCTAATGATTTTTTATTGGAATTTTCATCTTTTTGATGTAACGTTGGAATGTTGAGAATTAGAAGCTGAGATTTTTGGTGCTTTTGTTTGTGGGACCAAATATTACAACGTAGTTTTGATCAGTTTTTTTTTTCTTCCGGTTTGAGTTCTGCGGTGAAGTTTTTACGCATTTTGGTTTTCGGTTGGATCAATCAATCTGGATTGTGGAAATTTGAATTCGAAAATGCTGAGCAGATGCTCGAAACGATTAAGATTTCTGAATTCCATGTCGAGATCTCTCCGATGAAGTTTGATCGGAATTTAACGTTGGAATGTTGAGAATTAGAAGCTGAGATCTTTTTTTTTTTTTTTTTTTTTTGGTGCTTTTGTTTGTTTGATGGGGAACACATGTGTGGGACCAAATATTGGTAATAACGGATTCTTGCAATCTGTTACCGCCGTGGTGTGGCGGTCCCGGGCGCCGGAGGACAGTCTTCCTCCGCCTAATCAGGAAAGTGAAGGCAAAAGTTCTCAAAATGGCCCTCGTGATTCATCATCAAAAGGATCAGAGGTTGGTTCTAAACGTGGTGGTGATCCGCCTCCAATGCCGGTCCAAAGCACGCCTCCTCAGACTGTGAAAATTGTCAGTGATCAACAACAACCGAAGACGGTTGAACCCGAGAAGCCTGTTAAGCCAGAGGCGGTAAGACCAGAGGTAAAGGAGCAGGAAACAAAGCCTTCGGAGACAGCGAAACCGAAGAAACCGACGCATATCAAGAGGCTTTCGAGTGCAGGGCTTCAAACAGAGTCGGTGTTGGGAAGGAAAACTGCTAACATAAAGGACTTCTATAGCTTGGGAAGGAAGCTTGGACAAGGGCAGTTCGGGACGACGTTTCTCTGCCTGGAGAAGGGGACGGAGAAGGAATTCGCTTGCAAGACGATCGTGAAGAGGAAGTTGACGACGGACGAGGATGTCGAGGATGTCAGGAGGGAGATTCAGATAATGCACCACTTGGCGGGCCACCCCAATGTGATACAGATCGTTGGGGCTTATGAGGATGCCGTGGCAGTTCATGTTGTTATGGAGCTTTGCGCAGGCGGAGAGCTTTTCGATAGGATCATACAAAGAGGGCACTATACGGAGAGAAAGGCGGCGGAGCTTGCTAGGATTATAGTTGGGGTTGTTCAAGCATGCCATTCTCTTGGTGTTATGCATAGGGACTTGAAGCCGGAGAACTTTTTGTTTGTCAACCATGAAGAGGAGGCACCGCTTAAGACGATAGATTTCGGGCTTTCTATGTTCTTCAGGCCAGGTAGATTCTAGCTAAAAAGTGCCTAAGGAATCCATACATTTTCACAAGTTAATCTGATTCACAAGTTATCTTACATTTTTTAGTGCTGTGACTGTCCAGAGAACTCCTCTGGTTTTTTCTGTTTTCGTTTGAATAGCTTTTGTTGGATACTTAACTAACATGGCTTAAGTTCAATTCTGGGATGGTGTTAAACTTGATATATGCAATATGGCATCCTTACCATTGTCATTCCCCACACTACTTTTGTATGATAACCACTGGTTGGGGGTGTTCTTGTGGCTCAGTATCGAAGTTTTATTGCCCACTCATCATTGTTGTAGTTCTGACGAAATGTTTTTTTTCGAGTTCTGATTACTTTCCTCTTCACTTTATAAGTGTGAGAACACTATGTCTAATCCGAAAAGACCCTTCATTCTCTCAGGTGAAACGTTCACCGATGTGGTTGGGAGTCCTTACTACGTAGCGCCAGAAGTCCTACGGAAGCATTATGGTCCAGAATGCGATGTTTGGAGTGCTGGGGTAATCATCTACATTTTACTAAGTGGAGTGCCTCCATTCTGGGACGGTGAGAATTTATTGTTCATGTCTAAGTAGTTCCAAATAGTCATAGTAGTCATAGGCATTTATCAATCATACCTAAATTCTGGCATCATTTCTTATGTTATGGATCAGAAACGGAGCAAGGAATTTTTGAGCAGGTTTTAAAAGGCGAACTCGACTTTGTTTCAGAACCATGGCCCAGCATATCCGAAAGTGCGAAGGATCTGGTTCGTAGAATGCTTGTAAGGGACCCTAAGAAACGGGTTACAGCCCATGAGGTTCTTTGTGAGTAACAATCTCATGATTGGATATAACTTGTCTTTGTGCAGTCAGAAAAGTATATGTCTATAATGTCATTGCATAAACTTTTGCCGTATATTGCATCATTATGCTTAAATATACATGAATATAAAGCAGAGTCGTGTATCTTTAATGTCTTCGTTCAAAGTGAAAAAGAAAAATGCAATGATGGTCATATGAATTTATGAGTAATCTATTCGTGGAAGAAGTATTAACTTGTTCTAGAATCTGGAACCTTGATATTCCATTTTTATTAGCAATATTAATGTAAGATTTTAAGGTAGAAAGTTGCTGATCTGAGGATCATTAACTATTTGACAGGGCCGCGTTTTTGTTTTCCATGTTTCTTCCGTTTTAAAACACGGCTTTGCGTGATTCGATTATGTTTTTTTTACTCTTTCGCAGGCCATCCTTGGGTTCAAGTTGATGGTGTTGCTCCTGATAAGCCTCTCGATTCCGCTGTTTTAACACGCTTGAAGCAATTCTCCGCCATGAACAAGCTAAAGAAAATAGCCATTAGGGTGAGTAGCAATCATTCTTAAGCAATATAAGAATAGCAATTTTCCGACGTTCGAATTGAGGGAATCCATCATTTGAACTGTCTGCCGATTGTGTTTTATTTCAGTCTTAAACAATAATCCTTGAGCATACGTACGTATGAGAGAGAGTGATTAAGGTGTAAATGATTGTCATGAAATTCATACCATTACAAATGTTTGTTTCTATGGAACTTCTAAAAGAATTCTTTTTTTTTTTTTAAAAAAAAAGGGAATACATTTAACCTATTTCGACGTTACAATTATGAGAGGTTTTGTTCAATTCTTAAGGGTATGACTCGCAAAGGTTTTGTTTATTTTGCAGGTTATTGCAGAAATCCTGTCTGAAGAGGAAATTGCAGGTCTGAAGGAAATGTTTAAGATGATAGATGCGGATAACAGTGGACAGATCACTCTTGAGGAACTGAAAAATGGTTTCGAAAGGGTGGGTGCAAATCTCAAGGATTCCGAAATTCACGGCCTTATGCAAGCGGTAAGTACTAGTGAGGAATCACCATAAGGAGGCTCATGGAGGCATGTTATGATACATAAACCGTGTCTCTAAGTTGGAATAGAATTGGTCTGTTAGTCTCATAAGTTCGAATTATAATTCAAACCTTTTTGCTACAGTACTTTTATCTCACCGATTGTTATCACTTTTCAATTTTCCTTGCTAATTTTTCTCTGTTTCCAACAAAGTTCTTATAGCTAAACTAAGTTGTTATTTTGACCGGTCTCGATGAAGAAATCATTTGCAATTCAACTGAGACCAAATCCAATGAAATATATAGTGATTTTCTGCAGAGATTGAAAAGTTTGAAGGAATTGATGTGAGGCAATAGAAAAGATTGATAGAATTAGCAGGATCACCTGGCAGAATACTATCCATGTTTCTTGACTTGTTGAATTTAGTTATGTTCTGTTTCTCATTCAATTAACAATTGCTTTTCATACAAAACAATTCCAGGCAGACATCGACAATAGCGGTACAATAGACTACGGCGAGTTTGTGGCAGCAATGCTCCATCTAAACAAGGTCCAGAAGGAGGATCACCTATATGCAGCCTTCTCATACTTTGACAAAGATGGGAGTGGTTACATAACTCCAGATGAGCTCCAACAAGTCTGTGAGAAGTTTGGCTTGGAAAATGTTCAATTAGACGACATAATACGAGAAGTCGACCAGGATAATGTAATTCACTTAATCGGATTTCTCCTACGCAGAAAGTTTTCAATCTTTCTTTGATATTTACCCTTTTTGTGTTTCGTTTCAGGATGGTCGTATCGATTACAATGAATTCGCGGCTATGATGCAAGACACCGGTTTTGCCAAGAAGGCATTACAAAATAACACCAGTATCGGATTGAGGGAAGCCTTAAAGCAATAGTACACAGTCCATAGTTCATATCTCACTAACATTTGCTCTTTCATAGCTTAACAGAAGTTGAGATGCATTCTGTTGTAGAAATTAGCCAGGCTTCAGAGAGGAAGAGAGAGAAATATTTAATGCTCAGTCTAGTGTTCATTTTCTTCTTTTATTTACCATTTATTCTTTTTAAGGACCTTAAATTGGAATAGATCAAGAAAGCTGTTTATAATTACATTTTCCATAATACATTCTTCTTTTATACTGTTATTGCTAAATTAGAAAAATGTTTGAGATACTATTAATACTAAACACTATCACTAATAGAAGCTGGTCCACTTGTGGACCCCATTCTAGAGATGTCACTTTCTATTAGCGGGTGGTGTTTGCACCACGGATGCCTTATAACATTGTTTCTAAAAGTCAAAGTGTACATGCATGTTTTTTTAACTCAAAATTCACCACTAGGCATCTCCTTTTCAATACTCATTAGTCAATTTCTGCTAGTTAGTGCATCTACTCTAGCTGTAGAAAACGACACTAGAAAAAGTTCATATTAGTACAGTTTTGCGGAGCTTGGATTTACGCCTGTGCTTTAGTTATTGCTCCGGAGACTGTTGTACTTGTCAAAGCAGCTGCCGTGTGCCATAGGAGTCTTTTAGAAAAGCTGCGTCATTGCCTTGTCGTTTTGTATATGTTATTTCGTAACCATTGCTAAAAGCTCTGTCGTTTTGTGCATACTCTTTGCTTTGGTGAATAGTGCATATCCCTATCTGAATAAAGAAGTGCAAGGGAATAGTGGATATCTCTGTCTGAATTAAATCAACGGTAAATTATTGTATAATGGTTTTTTTTTTTTTTTTTGGGATTTCTCTGCTAGGCGGACGTATGAGTAAGGTCAGTTTTTAATTGTTAAATTTAGTTAAAATTATATCAAATTTAAAAAATATATAAAAATTTAACGACTGAAAATTAAATAATTACTAATAGATAGTTATTTTTTTAGTACTATAAGGGTACTCTTTTTTTTTTTTTTTTTTTTTTTTTTTTTTTTTTTTTAATGAATGATTGTATGATGTTTTAGCTACTT